AAGTATACTGGATTAACAAAGGTGAAAATTATAGAAAACCTTCTGAAAATTGTTTCTGAAAAGAAATCTGGAGGCCAGGAAATTGCAACAGACCTTGAACCACATTCTTCTACTTCACATGGTCAGAAACCTGCTAAAAGGCAAAGGAAAAATGAGAATCCGTCTCGATTACCTGTTCCAGTAAATGACGTTTCTGTCAACAATGGAGTTGGAGATGTAACTAGTATTTCGTACTGCAAAAACACAGCTTGCAAAGCCGCCTTAAGTGAAGCAGATGTGTTTTGTAAAAGATGCTCATGCTGCATTTGTCATAAATATGATGACAACAAAGATCCTAGCCTTTGGTTAATATGTGGCTCTGAGCCTCCATTTCTTGGTGTTTCTTGTGGCTTGTCATGTCATCTTGAGTGTGCTTTAAAGCATGATAATTCTGGCATTGCCAAAGATGGAAAACGTCCCAAGCTTGATGGAAGCTTCTACTGCATCTCATGTGGGAAAGTGAATGATTTGCTCGGGTAATAGTGTATGTTTAACATGTATGTTTTTCAGTTTCTTAGATTACATATGCTCTCCATTTGAAAAATTTGCTGCTGCTCTTCTGTTTCTCTTTTAATCCTTGTGTGCAGGAGTTCTTCATTAAATGTTCTTAAGCAAGTCAATTGATATGAATGATGATTTTTATTTGTTTATTTATTTATTTATGGTAAGCTGTTTTCAGGATCTCCCTTGAGACTCTTGAGATTCTATGGACTTCATAAATTATGTGTACATACACCATCCAATATGCACATTCAAACCTATATAAGCACGTGTGCATGCACATATGTCAAAACTGTCTTCAAGGCCTTCTCCTGACTGCCTAAGCTTTTGGGTTGAAATAGCTGTTTTAAAGCCTAGTGACCGAGTACTGGACTCATTTGTCCATCTATTCCTTTTTTATTTCTTTTGAGTTCAACAACTTTTAAGTATGATTGCGAATAGAGTTGTGGTGTTATTTGGTGGTTCACAGTATGCTACTACTATCAGTGAAATTTGTTGTGCATTAGTTGAGGGCGTCTGGATCCATCGAAACTTCTCATTTTTTTTCCTTTGTTTTTTGGGGGGGAGGCGTTTGTGGGGGATTGGGGACATATATCCAGGATTGTTTGCTCTGTTGAATACCAGTCAATAATACATTAAATATATTGTGATTGTTTTTAAGATAGACGGAATATCTGTTACACTTTTCTGGATGAAATGTTTCTAAATGTCTAGTGTAAGATCAATCTCACCTGTGTTTTGTTTTTAAAATGCATTTAGATGCTGGAGAAAGCAACTGATGGTGGCAAAGGATACTAGACGTGTTGACATACTATGCTACCGTGTTTCCTTGAGCCAAAGAATTTTACAAGGGACTGAAAAGTATAAAAAACTTTATGAAATTGTTAACGAGGCGGTGAGGAAACTTGAACCTGAATTAGGCCCATTAACTAGTTCACCAGTGAAGATTGGTAGGGGCATTGTGAACAGACTTTCGTCAGGGCCAGAGGTTCAGAAACTATGTGGTTTGGCTTTGGAATCATTAGATTCTTTTCTTTCTAAAGGGGTTGTGCCTCCATCACCTAATCCAACAACTCAAGGTTATCACTCATCTTTTTATTTTGTGTGCCCAAGTGAGGGTATGTTGACCTTTTTTTAATAAACATTGTTGGGAGGGGTCTACTCTGTTTCCTTAGTATCTTGGGGGAGAATAACCTTTGTAGCCAGTGGAGTATAATCCTCATGCATACCGTAATATATGTGTGTGAGAAAAAATTCACCTACTGATAAGATGGTGATGTGCTTATTAACATACTAAATGTGTTGTTTGTAAGTTCTTATTTTCATTTATTTTCTACAATGATTTATATCAGACAGTACTTTATTTGAAACTCTTGTATTTATTTCTATTGACATGAATACAGTATAGCAAAGCACGTTACAATTATAAGGTAATTCTTTTCCCTTGGATAGGGATTCTTGAAATTAAATTCGTATTTATTTGGCTTTCTGTGATTGCATTTGACCTTTTCAGATGCAAATTTGATTGCAACAAATATGGTGAGATTCGAAGATGTCAGAGATACATCCCTGACTGTGATTTTGGGTTCTGAAGATCCTTTGGAAGAAAATATCAGTGGCTATTCCCTTTGGCATCGCAAGGCTCTTGATGTGGAATATCCAGTTGAACCTACTTGTACTTTGGTTCTACCTGACCGAAGTTTCAATATAAGGAGTTTAATTCCAGCTACAAAATATAGTTTCAAAGTTGTTTCCTATAATGGCACAAGGGAGATGGGTACGTGTGAGGTACAAATCTCAACAGAGCCTGGCGAGTATGAAGTTCCTAACTGTTCAGCAACGGAAAGAAGTCAGAGCCCAGTAACCAACTGTAGCAGCCATTCCAATCCTTCATCAGTGGAAGATGAAACCAACAACAGCAATCCATTTAGTGATCAGACCGATGATCGGGCAGATAATTATCTTGCTTATAGCAAGGATGCTGACAAGCTTGCTTCTGAAAATTTATCCAATGATGTTATTAAATGTTCCAACACCGTTGGAGGTGGACTGCCTGCTGATGCAGATTCTCTGTCAGAAAAGCAACGTGGCAGAGGCTTGGCTGTAACCATACCTGGTTCTGAAATGCTAAAGCTTGAAAACAACCATTCACCAGAGGGACAAATCACTGAGGACTTGAGCACTGACGATGGGTTGAATTCCCCTGTTCAGATTGGGAGGGAATGTGTGCCACTGGTGCGTAGCTCGGAAGCAAGCTTGCCTATTACTCCTTGCAAGTTGGAAATACTTAAGGACGGGCCAGGAAGAAGTGGTAGATCCAAGTCCTCAGGCAAGGATCAAGAGAATGGTTCCGGGAAGAGAGAGGGTCCTCAGGATGGAAGCACATCTAAGAAGAGAGCTGAACAGAGGCAAGATGAGGTTTTTGTTGCCAATGGGTATTCGGATCGGGATTTTGAGTATTACGTGAAAGTGATCAGATGGCTTGAGTGTGAAGGACACATAGAAAAGAACTTCAGACAGAAATTTTTGACTTGGTACAGCTTGAGAGCCACGCCACAGGAAGTAAAGATTGTGAAAGTATATATTGATACATTTCTTGATGATCCACCTTCTCTTGCTGAGCAGCTTGTGGACACCTTCTCAGAATGCATATCAAACAAGAGACCATCTGTTGTGCCAGCTGGGTTCTGCATGAAGCTCTGGCATTGACCATATTTTGTAGGTCCTGCTACTTGCTTGATGATTAAGCCCCAACTGGCTTGTGCTGCAGTAATTCTTTAGATCATCAATATTTTTCTTTTGAACAGTTGCCTGTATTTTACCATGGTCATTCATATGATGATGTAAAGATGATATATTCACTCTTTGAGAACGGTTACAGTTTCAATTTGTGAATTAACTAGCATTTATATGAATGTTGAAATGTTGGTAGATGACTTGAATAATTTGTATCAAACAACTCCATCTCTAGACTATAAGCAGGGTAGGCCGGTTTGGGCAGCATTAGCTTTGCCTTCTGCCCAGCCTGAAACACCACTGGGTTAGCATTTTTGACCCACAGCCTAGTTCAGCACATGCTGACGCGGCATCTCACGCTTGGTCAGGCCGGCTGGTCAGTATTGAAACAAGGGTTGGCTTCATGAAGGCTGACAAAGTGGGAACGTTTTGGGTCCTCTTCAATATGCAATTTTCTAAGAAATCCAGTGCTACCAAGTCTTTTGGGGGGAAAAAATTATGTGCCCCATTTGGCAATGGGTCTTGGCTCTGCCAATGACTTTACAAGGACTTCAATCCCACTGGAAACGAAGATTTTGCACAACGTTGCAAAGGAGATTGATGCATTTTTTTGAGTATCCATAGCATGAATTTGATATCTTTCTATCCCTTTTCTCCATGCTTGAATATTTCTCTCAAGATGACTGCACAACATCCCAGTTGACTAATATCCAAATAACATCCTGTTCGTCTATGTTAGAATAATTTGAGCATCAGCCCTATAATAATTTGATATTTTTCCATCCCTTTTACTTGTAAACACGTTCATTTTCGAGTTTATTGGATCTTCATTCTAGGGCCTGTTTGGATGCTCTGAAACTTGTTAGGCATTTTCCACGAGTAACATTCCATATTTACTTCGTAATCCATAAAAACTTCGAAACTATAGTGGTTTTCATCTCACTCCCTAGTCTATGAATACTGTAGTAAGGAAGGATCTTGTTTTCACTTCCAGAGCGCAAAAACGACAAGGCGTTTTGCATTTCCCCCACGACCGATTGTTGTTTCATTCAAATGGAGCACTGTTTCCTTTACTCTAGTACTCTGGTTTCAGTGCGCAATCTTCTCAAAGGCCAACGCATCATGCCAGGCGGCGATACGCGCGCGCGCGCGCGAACATATTTCCTCTAGTCAGCCAGGCATTCTCAAGCACTATTCGTTCTAATTCTAATTATAAACAGTTGACTAATTTGAGGAGATTAAAAAATAAGTTGAGTTAGTTATTTGCTCAAAATAGGTGTTGTTTTTCCTAAAATATCCTTGATAATCAAATGTATTAACTAAACTATAATTATTAGAAGGGTTATTTTGGAAAAAATTAACTAAATATGGGAGACAAAGTAGATTGGGGTTTATATTTAACCAAAACAAAAATCAAATAAGTTCTTATATTAAGGATAGGAGGTAGTAATTCTTATCTAACAAGGAATGATAATTAAAACATTAAATTGTTTTGGATTCTTTTTTTTTTTCAAGTTTAGCCTAAGTTAAATGATATGGATAGAGAAATAGAGTTTGATAAGTTTATTAAAACTAAACCTTAATTAATTAAGAGTAAAATTGAAATGCAGTGATTAATAAGTTGATCAAAAATTGCTTTTAAGATCCTAATAATAAGCACGGTATAGACACATGCAAGAACGAATGATGCTAACTTTCACCCAAAAAAAAAAAAAAGACGAATAATGCTAACGGTGTCTGACTGGTACTTCGCAGGCGCCTTGAATCCCGAAACGCGGGAGCTCCAGACTGCTCTCATGAACAAAAAATTGGCAAGTACAGTGTTTCCACATCTACTAGAAGAATGTCTGGGTATGAGAGAGCTGAAGCAAATCCATGCTTCTGCTATTACCCACGGTCTTGCTCGATTCGCCTATATCGCTAGCAAAATTCTGGCTTTCTGTGCTAAATCAGAACACAAGGATTTGCCCTATGCGGAGACGCTTTTCAATCACATGATGACGCCCAATGTCTTTGATTTTAATTCTATGATAATGGGTTTCTCGAGTAATTCAGAGTTCGACAAGGTTTTCTCTATTTTCAACCGAATGCCTGGACTTGGCGTACGTCCTAATGCTCGAACTTTCACTTTTGTGGTCAAATCATGCGTTTCTTGTCTTTACTTGAACAGGTTCATACTCAGATAGTAAAGTTGGGGATTTCTCTCTGATGTTCATGTTGTTAGCTCTTTGTTAAATATGTATTCTAAACAAGGAGCAATTCAAGGTGCTCGCAAATTGTTTGATGAAAGTCCTCATAAAAATGTGGTTTGCTGGACCAGCCTTATCAGTGGTTATTGTGACAATGGTTTGGTCAATGAAGCTCGGAATTTATTTGACGCAATTCCTCAAAGAAATGATGTTTCCTATAGTGCAATGGTATCTGGATACGTCAAGAATGCTTTCTTCAATGAGGGAATTGAGCTCTTTCGCGAGATAAAGAATTCCGGAAATCGAAGCCGAATAAGTCTCTTTTAGTGAGTGTTCTTACTGCCTGTGCGGCTGTAGGTGCCCTTGAAGATGGTAAATGGATTCA